AGAAGAAATGGCACGACTTGCCCCTCAATCAGGCTTGGGAGAAAATTTTCCACGTGGTTCCAAGATACAACAAGCAGGCAATCATTGAAGAACTAAGAGGAGTCATAAAGCTGGTTTGGTGAACTGGATTGAGATGACGGATTCATAGGAAACATTCTATAGGCAGTGGGAGATACAGTCCCAACGTATTTAAGAGGGAACAGAATGGAAAACTGATGTAAAAGTTTAAGGCGTGGGAAAGAAGGCACTCAACAGTGAGTGAATGTGAAAATGAACAAGGGGCTAAGAACTTGGAATAAGAACTCCATTTAAAGACTCGGGAATGGGAAAGGAAAGAGGGAAAATGTCAGATCCATACAAGATGATGCTGGTAAGGGCAGCAGAAACAACAGCAGAAGGAAATTTCAAAAAGGAATATATGATCAAGATTTTCTCATACCATGGACAATGTTGTTTGTGTTCGGCCACAGGAAAACCATTGGTTATCTTTGAGGGTGCCTTGGTTACAATGTTAGTGTCATGAGAATGGTTGCAGAAGGGATAGGTCAAAGCTGTGAATGAGAAGATCATAGAAAATATAGAAATAGCCCACATTAATATTCCAATTGTAGAATCATCTATATGCAGAACATCACAAATCTCTTGAGGTCTGATTTCTATCTCTTGAGATTTTGATCGCTGCTGTGATGAATTACCACAAATGTAAAACTACACAAATTTACTATTTCTTCATTCTGGAGGTCAGAAGTCCAAAATAGGTTTCATTAAGCTAAACCCAAACTGTCAGAAGAGTGGATTCCTTTTTTAATCCCCAATTTTGAGATTAATTAACAAATAACATTGTCTAAATTTAAGATGTACAGTGTAATGATGTGATATATGTATATATTATGAAATAATTACCACAATTGGGCTAGTTAACACAGCCTTCACCTCACATGATTGCATGTGTGTGTTGTAAGAACATTCAAGATCTACTCTTAGCAAATTTCATCTATATATACAACACAGTCTTGTTAGCTGTAGTCACCATGCTGTATATTAGATCCCCAGAACTTATTCATCTTATAATTAAGAGTTTGTACTTTGACCAACATCTTCCCATTGATCCCACTCCCCAACCCCTGGTAACCACCATTCTACTCTTTGTTTCCATGAGTTCTCCACTTTTACAGGTTTCACATTTAAATGTGCTCATACAGGACTGGTCTGTATGACTTCCATCACAGACTTTTTTCACTTAACATAGTGCCCTCAAGAGTCATCCATGTTGTCACAAATGGCAGGATTTCCTTATTTTTTATGCCTGAATAATATTCCAATTTTATACATTTATACATTTTCTTCATCCCTTCATCCATTCATGGACACTTAAGTTGTTTCTTTATCTTGGCTATTATGAATACTACTGCAGTGAACATAGGGGTGAATATACTACTGTAAAACAGCAAATTTTTTTTCCCTTGGGTGTATACCCAGAATGAGATTGCTAGATTATATGGTAGTTCTCTTTTTAATTTTTTGTGGAACATCGATACTCTTTCCGTAATGGCTACATGAACTGACACCTTCTTAAAACTGTAGGGGAGAATCCATTTCCTTGCCTTTTCCAGCTTCTAGAGGCAACTACATTCCTTGGCTCATGGTTTCTTCCTCCCTCTTCAAAATCAGCAGCATAGAATCTTCAAATCTCTGATTCTGAAAATCCTGCCTGTCTTTTTCACTTGTAAGGACTCTAGTAATTGCATCAGTTCTATCTGGATGTAACCCAGGATAACCTCCCCATCTTGAGATCCTAAATCACATTTGAGAAGTCCTTTTTCCTGTGTACAGTAACGTATTCATGGGTCCCAGGGGATAGCATGTGGACATTTTGGAGGAATCCGAATTCTGCCTACCACAAAGTCTAAGTTAAAACATCAAAAGCAGTTTAGAATTGACTTTGATTAAATCTTATGCATCAGTTTACCTTTGGGTTAAACAATGTGAGATTAATTTATTAACTTGAAAATGAAAATAACATTTTTAAAGGAAAGCTTTTACCCTAATCTATTATTTTCTGCTGAAAGGTCTTTAAGTTAAATGTTAAAATTCTTGTTATAAAATTTCCATTTAATCATAGTTGGGTGACAGTAACAATAAGCTAATAGCTTTCTGCCAATAGCAATATTTTGATGAGCCCATTTTTTATTGAGGCCATACTTTATATTATGGAAATCACTCTTGGCAACATCTTCTGCTCTTATTTATTTTTACTGTTTTTTTAATACAGAATGTTTTATTAAAAAGGTTTCAAAGCTAAAGATGTTTCCCTTTGTATACATTTAAAATATATATTTTTTTAGCTAATAAAGATATATTTGAATTTCTCAAACTATTTCATCTATAGTTTTTCCTCTGTATAAAGTTTTTCTTATATAAAATTGAAGGGATAATGAACACAACTGCTCTAAATATTAAGTGAGCTAATGAATGTAAAAACGGTAGCAGCTGCTTGCCCATATTAAGTAGGTCTTCCATCAATTTTTAGCTTAATAGAAAATATATAATATTTTTTTACTCATACTGAAACATTTCTATAACTACTACTAATGAATAATACTATAGATGGTGTTTCTTACCAAACTTACCAATTCAAGTATTTGGTTGATCTCCACAGAATTTAAGATGAGAATTCAATTCAAATAACTCAAATTAAAAATGGTCGTTTATATTCCAAATATCAGTTCAGTCAGGCTTTCATAGGTAGGGGTACACAAAATGATACCCTTAAGGTTTTTTTAATTCTATCTAAAGGTGCCAGTAAATTGTGAGGAAAATTTTGTGAGTTTCATATATTCAATATAGAATATTCAAAGTTAGAAATTAAGCTATTTGGGAGATCAAACCTAGAATACGGCAGCACTTTAAAAAAAAAAATCACAAAATAAAATTTTCTCAATGGTTATAATTTACCTTCAAGTTGCACTAGTTAAGATTTCCCCCTGTAATCCTATGTCCCTATGTCTTTAACTCCTTGTGATTAAATAATGTTGCTGTGCTTTCGCTATTTTCTTTCTGTGAAGTTGTCAAATGATCTCTGTCTTGTCCTGTGTAATTTAAGAGACTTTTATGTAACTCTCTGAGAGACTATCACACAAGTCCGACTAGAAGAATAATTTACGAGGTTCAAAATGAAGGGTCATTATTAATACTGTCTGAACTGCAATGAATATGTAGACTCTCTTGTTCATGCGTGGCAGGGTTTTAACTAGATCAAAAGAGGTATAAGGTTTTAAATGAGGTGTTATGAATGATATCATTGGTTACATACGTTTAATTAACATTTTTAAAAATATGATTGTTTAAGGAGATTAGAGAACATAAGAAAGCATGGTGTTTGGTGTGGGCTTATATATTACTTTCCAATATTTCTTTGGCTGAAAACACAATTTCAGAAGTTGTGCTTTTATATGTCCTTAGGCTAACCTTTATTAGCCAACCGTAAGCTGGAAAAACACGCATAGTAAGTGTTCGACAACAAAAGCTAAATGCAGAAGGACAGCAAAGAGTGGGGTTTTCTGAGTTTTGAAGAGAGGTTAATTTTTAAGTGCCTCTGCTTTACCGAAGTAGTCCTGACTTGTGTTCAGCAATCATTGATCCTAATGATGTTTATGTAGCTAGAAGAAAATAGTACTTTTTCTTACCATTTCAGTGTCCAGTGTCTCTTCTTAATTACAGCAGGCAGATCTAATTACTTCTTCTGATCAATCTCAATAGTTAAATAAATCCTTTCCGGGCAAAGTGCAATCTTAAATATTTCCACAAGAGCTTTTTTTATAATATAAGCACATCGTATAGGATACACCAAATAAGAAAAGAGAATCACTTTTAGTAGATGGACAACTGTAATAGAAAAATGTTTTTATGTTTATTTATATATGCTCTATTATTTTAAAGAGCTGATAAATCTGAAGCCTTTTTACTAAAAAATCATCTCTTCCTCTCAATTTCCCCTAGCATATCCCCTGAACTTCCGTGTTTTGTTAATATGTATTTATTAGTGTACATGTTTATGTCCCCACATATACTCGGAGTGTTCCACATTACCCATAATACTTAGCTGTATGCCTTGAAAATAGATAGCTAACATCGAGTTCCTGCTATGTGCTGGATGCCATTCTAAAAGTTTTTGTGTATTAACTCCCTTAATTTTCAAAGGAGACGAAATAGGTACCACTATTATCTTCACTTTTTAGAGAAGGAAACTAACTCAGAACAGTTAAGCAATCTAGCCAGAGTCACACAGCCTGAAAGTGGCCATCCTGAATCAAAGTCTGGTTTCAGATCCACTGAACATAACCATTGCCCTGCCTCTGCAGACCCTGAGCAGGTAAATGTCCTACTTTTAGAGTGGGTGACTTTCAGAGCACCAAATACTTCTTCCTCACCTTTATTACATTATATTTGTTTTCTCTGGTTATTCAATTGATGTCCGCCCCTCCCATTATACCCAGAACATATCGATAGAACCTCTAGTATTTAACAGATGAGTAATAGCAGCTAATATTTATTAAGCATTTACCATGTGCCAGGAAATGCATCTTATTTTAATCTTCAGGAAGTCTATGATACCTACCAATTTACCTCCACTTTAGAGATGAGGATATGGAGGCGGAGGAAAATTAGATGACTTGCCCAAGATCACAGAGCTAATAAATGATAGAGCCAGGATTTCAACTCCAAGGCCAAACTCCAGAGCTGTGCTCTGGATGAAGGAAGGAATGGATGAATGGAAATCTACCTTGGAGGAAGGCATATTTGACATGTACAGAAGGGTGAAGTAGAAACAGAAACCACCATCCGGGCAGGGGAAACACGGGTAACATGATACAGAACAGTGTGTCTGGAGCGCTCAATAAATACAAATTAACCAGTGAATACTTTTGTAGCCAATTGATTAAAAGGCTTGTACATGAAATGTTTATTACTAATGCCTTCTACATCTTTTTTTCTTTCAGTGCCACCATGGGCCTTAATCGCCATAGCCATAGTTGCTGTCCTTTTAGTCCTGACCTGCTGCTTTTGTATCTGTAAGAAATGTTTGTTCAAAAAGAAAAACAAGAAGAAGGGAAAAGAGAAAGGAGGGAAGAATGCCATTAACATGAAAGACGTGAAAGACTTAGGGAAGACCATGAAAGATCAGGTAATGTCTTCATTCTGTATTACTTCTTTGATGATTTTATTAAAAGTTAATAAATGGCTTATTATTTTATACCAGATAAGTATAGAAGTAAACAACTTCTGGACAGATGTCACTGTTGTCAAAAATGCTTTGCAATCCTTTCATTCATTGCTCAACGTCCCAAAGTGCAATGAAAACATTTGGTAGGGTTTTCCAGGCTCCTAAGCATCTGACCCAGAAAAGGGCATCGACGACTGGCAGGGCCATCTTGACAGGCCCAGCAGACTGGAATGATGCCTGAGTATTTGGATTACATCTGTTCAGCCAGTTTTAATTGCATTTAGAGTTAGAGAAACAGAATCGAGAGTATCTGAATGCTTTCCCTCTTGGGCAGGGTGCCTTTCTCACATTACCACTGTTCATAATCACTGTTAAATCACTCAGACTTATGGCCGTTTATGAGTCTCAGTAAGCTATTTGGATGTTCTTTACATCGTGGTCTATTTTTATTAAATTAACTGGATGATTTGGTTCAGAACAAAGTTTACTATTAATAGTTATAATTAAATGCCTCTTCAATATTTTTTTAATCATTTTCATACTGGATATCTTTAAAGAATATTTAATTCATATTAATAACATAAAGGTAGAGCTTTTCCATAGAAAGAACACTTTCAATTATCTTTGTTTCCTTTCAAATAATTCAAAAGTTTTATTTATTCCCAAATAGCAACATACATTGACAGGTTTTTTTTTATTTTTCTAAACGAATTAATTACTATTAATTGAACTCTTGACTAGGTGAATCTTCTTAAGAACAATTTAGTCAAGGAGGGCATTTTTAGCACATTTGCATAGTTTCCTAGTTAACCATCCACTCAGGGCACCAACTCCATTCCCCAGCTTGAGATTTAAACACCTTTTCTCAAAGATCCTGTAATGTCTGTTGACAACAATTTCACAAAGGCTCTTCTGCACTCACTCAACTTTTGTTTGGTTTCAGAGCTTTAGAATGTATGCAGTGCCTGCCTCACACTCAGATTTGTCCTGAGCTCAGAACAACAAGGTTTACATTCTTCTGAGTTTCCAATCACAGCCACAGAAGTTCGACCATAGGGTTCTTTTTTTTTTTTTTTTTTAATTCTTATGTTCATAGGGTTCTAATAAGGCTTTTTCTCTTCTGTTAATTTGTTACATAAAAACTACAATTTGAAAACAGGTCTTGTTTATTTCAACATTTTCAATAACAAGTAGACCTTGACAGAGATTTCTTTAAACAGTTTATTGGGAGATTAGGTGTAAGAACAATGTGCTAGATGGACGGGGACTGAATAATTTGTATGTGAATTTCAGCTCTATCTAAGCAACCATTTGAGAACACAGCCCTATCATTTTCGTAACTATAATATAATGCAAATGTAATTTTCCCATATACAAGAATTAACAATTAACTACAGCATTTTTTTTCTAGCATAAGAAATTTGTTTTCTTCTTTGTGGAATTTGTTCTGTATGATGTAAGATTGTAATTTATAGTATAGTAGTGGTGTTTATTACCCCTGTAATGACCTGGATAAATGACCAAGATCTCAAAATACTACATACAGAGAATTGATGGTGGTTAATTTTTCAATGATCATCTATTCCTTTGGATGAGAGAGGAAGAGAAAATAAGTCAAATAAGGAAATATTGGTAGGAAATCAGTGACAGTTTACAGTGATCTACTATTACAACAAAGTATTTAGGATTTCAACCACTCAAAAAGATCTCATCATTTTAGGTAAATTACTTGTCTATGTAGGATTTTATAGATCTTATTTTAATTTATGAACTATTAAATGTACAAAATGAAATGATTTGGACAAGCAAAAATAGGCCTTATCGGTAAACAGTTATATAACAGTAGCTTATGCTACTTTTTAAGGCGGGCAATAGTAGCTAATAATGGGTTCTATTGTTTTATGAAGAGGAAGGATGAAGAAGCAAAATAGAATGTGCAGTTTTAAGAAGTACATCACATGGTGACCATTCAATCATCCAACTTCAGAACAGCCTAAGTTTTGAAATTCAGTAAAATTCTTAACTAATTACATTTTCAGAATATTTTAAACAGTGTATTGATGGGAACATGAGGAAAATAAATGTAGTCAATGGCTCTCATTGAAAAACACAACCGATGTGAGAGGCATTTTAGACATGATTTCTTAAAATACATAGGCTCTAGGCAACCAGGAAGTTTTCACCATTTCAATCTATGTAAGAATGGACAGAAATTCAAATTCCAATGTTCATGGCTAACTGTCTCTATGTTAAAATTTTATAATCAACAGACTTTTAAAACTCCATAATGACAACAAACTCACTAGTAACAGTGTATTTATATAACATAAGATTTATATATAAAGGTTTTGTTTTTGTTTTTAATTCCTGAAAGCTTGAGAACACTGAAAATGCAGAGGGACAGTATCAAGTTGCAAAGTGATGGGTCTGGAAAGGTCATTTCTCCATGGTTTTTGCTAATGTGTGTGGATCTTTTAATTTTTATTTCTTCCTTCTATGTCCTCCTTATCTGTGTTATGTCTCATGACTGTTCTGGAACCCCCCCTTGCGGTAGGTCTCCTCTGCTCTTTAGAAACCCCTCGTCAACGCTCCAATACATTTAGTGGCCTGGCAGCTGGGGTTCCACAGCTCAGGGTGTACCATTCTGACACACATCAAGAGGCTGAACTAAATTGATTTTTAAAATAAATAAATAAAAGAAATCTGTAATAAAAAAATAAAATAAATTGATTTTTTTTTAAGATAAAGGGTTCTCATTTTAAACATTACTAACTGATTAAATAGAACAGTATTAGAAAGCTCAAGTTTTTAAATTGATGGGCACAGAAAGAAAATTCAGTCCCTTGTGCTACCTTTTGTAAGTGTGCCTTATCAAATCCAAACCTGAACAATTTCTCTTAAAAGAGCTTCTCCTTCGGATGGTTGTAAAATGACGCGCCTTTTGAATGTCGAAGCAAGCCAGAAGCATGTACACTAAATCTTTGAAATTTAAAACAAGATCTGATGTTCCCAGCACATAGCTTTCGCGACTGCAATTTAGCAAACCATCAAAACTGCTGGGTTTACAAGCATTTTCCTCCACATTTTGTTGAGGGGCAGTGGGGGTGGGTAGAGGGGTGCTGCTCTTGAGATATTATAATAGCTACTGATTTCATAGGTCTGAATTTAATGTGATGGTACAGAAGACATCCTGCTTAAGCTCAGGCTTCAGGACAAGAATAGACTTAATCACTTCGGTGATGAACAGTGGCACTGAGAAATTATCAAAAATTTAGCCCTATTTCACACAGAGTAATTGCAGAGATGGTCCTGCACCTTTTATTAGGGCAAAAACCACTTAGGAAGAAGGAGATTTAATATCTCAGCTATTTCAAATTGCACTGGGCTGAAACATGATATGTAAATTGTCAGTTCTGAAAGAGACTTTTGAAAAAGTATTTTAATCCATGAATTTTTTTTATAATTATGATAGAGTAACGTGTAGATTTTTCGACAGAAATACGTACTAAGTAGCTTGCTATTATTTTTAAAAACTTAAAATCTTATAGGGAGACAATTTAACTAAGCTGCAATTTTCTAAGAACATCTATGGGAGTGGTAAAGACTAACAGACAGCTAAGGTTTTGAAAGGGCAATGTGATTTCACTGCCTCAGCTCCTCTAATTAAACTCAGTTGTCTTTTCTGGTCACTTTACTAGCATGTTCCCTATAATGACCTATCCCCCGCCCAAGTTAAAAGATTAAATTTTTAAGTAATTAAATTGTTTCCTGCCTTTGGCTATAAGGAAACCAACATTTTACTACTCAGGAAAACATTTCGTATCCCAACTTTCCTACACAGATGTAATAATGGTAATTTTTAATTTTCCAAATTCATTGTAGGCTCCTGAAATTTTTCAAGAAGCACAGAAAGGGAGGCACCTCCAACTACAGCTCAACTCTGTTTATATGCTCTTCCCACCCAAATGAGTTCTATTGATACAATGCCACCAAGTCTCAGGTTTTTTTTAGGATCAAATTGGAGTTAGCAGAGTAGAGCCAAATTGGAAAAGCTTGTCAATTTCAGTGCCATTTTGAAGCACCACAGAGAGTCTGTGTGTAAATGCACGAGTGAACAGTAAAGCTTTCTCTCAGCAGAGAAGAAAGACCACACACTCTGGAAGGTGGGAAGAGGCTGGGTGATGGAGCTGTAGTCTGGTGCCTCTTGCGTTTCTGAAATCTGGTTATACTTCTGCATTTGACTACAAGAATTCTCAGATTTAACCTGCTGACAAGAGTTAAAATTCCTTTACTTTGTCACAGATATAAAGCAGTCTCCCACTCTGCCTTATCTTGACTTCTGTGAGATTCTACAGTCCAGTCACACACACACACACACACACACACACAAAAGGCAATGAAAATGCCATAACCAAAAACTAGGGAAGAAGATTTGCAATATACATAACAGAAAAGTTGAGATCACTAAAACACAGTCTCTAGAAATCAGTAAGAGCCAAACAAAACAACAGAACACTTAGCAAAGGATATACACCAGCAGTTCCCAGACAAATAAATACAATTGGTTACCATAAAGATTTTCAAATTTTTCCATCTCACTAGCAATCAGGGAAATGTAATTTTATCATTTTTAATTTTGAATAACTACATATAGCTTTTAAAATTATTTTTCCTAATTCTCTAAAGCAATAACAATGCATATCCCTAGAAACAAAGCTTACCTAATATTTATAATCTTTATAACCTTTGATTTTCTTTCAGCAAAGTTGTTGCACTTCATGGGAAAATACATTATCTATTTTTATTTTCAAAAGAGAGGAGCATTTGAATGTATTTTGTGGGATGATGAGCTTTCTAGTATTTCATTTTACATTACACTTAAGTTTTAGATTATAAAGACTATTCAGTTGGTCCAAACTGAGAGTTCAGAACCACGATTTTTGTTCACTGATGCAAAATAAACGTTAATGCTGATTTCAGTTTGACAAAACTGCAAACGTAACTGCTTTTATTTTTTTTTTAATCTCAAATAGATCCATAAATCAATTTAATTCAGCCTAGCTTTCTGTGGAGCTGTTACAAAAATAAAATGTTAAATTTCAACTGGAAGTGGGGTAGATTTTCCTCTAAACATGCATTTGCTGGTGGCATGTTTTTTCCACTTTTTCCATAACCATTATAAATGTATATGTGAAACATAGGAAATTAAAATTCTTTGAGAATCACTTATTCAGCTATCTTTCTTATAGGAAACAAGGCAAGAAAAGGCCACTCATTTCATATAAGTTCTCCACTGCATGTAACAATGATGTTTTACATGATGCTGAGCTTAGATCTCTTTAAACTACATGAATGTGAAACCTGGCCTGGTTAATAGCATGTTTGTCATACTTCTGAAAGAAGCAGTTTTACCAAAGCCAAATGTGAATCCAAGTCGACATTTTGTCTGCAACAACTTTACATTTTTCGCTTGCAATATTCTGAGGGGCTTTTCCATCGCTTTCATGTTGCTTGCTGATTGGGGAAGAAAATTCCGTGCACAAGTGGAATTTTAAAAATATATAAGCAGCAAATGTGAATGTGTGTCAGACAAATGAATTTCCAGCATCTTAGTGCTTGCTTCTAACAGCTTGGAAGTATAACCACAGGTCCAGGTTGATATGGGTTTCAACGAATTCACCTGAATTCACATATACTTCATTTCCCTACTCCTAGGCTCTAAAGGATGATGACGCTGAAACAGGATTGACTGATGGGGAAGAAAAAGAAGAGCCCAAAGAAGAGGAGAAATTGGGGAAACTTCAATATTCACTGGATTATGATTTCCAGAATAACCAGGTCTGAGAGGGGTGGGAAATGACTTCTAATTCCATTACATTTTCTGAAATTACCAAGTAGAAATTGAAGCAAAATACTTCTTAAAACATTTCGTTTGCTGAGAAGGGAAAATGCAATTATCAAAGCTATTGATGAAATCATTTCTAAGTACAGGCAGTCCCCTACTTGCTAATTTAACTTCTGGTAATTAGAATTCACAGTATTCAACCGATTACATCTACTTATGGCACTTACTGCAGGCAGGCAGAATACAAATGAACTTGCAGATAGTCGTTCTGATTCTGACAGCTCCCAGCCACAGTCTCACTCCTACCCGCCCATCAGCCTGAGCTACAACAATATCCCTTGGAATTCATGGAATTCGATCCCAACAGGGCAAGGAACTGCTGAGGTAAACCACCATTCAGCCAAAGCTTTAAAACAAAATCTAACTGTTTGATAAGGAATCAAAGACGAAAAACTGACTGCCTTCCATGAATTTCAAAGGCAGAAATGCCTTCTGTAATATCATGATACTAGGTAAAATTCCTAGCACCAGTGAGTTAACCGTTCTAGGAAAGGAGAAAGACCAGCAACTTGATTTCTAGTGCCTGTGACTACTGCCCAACTGGTGTTAAGGAACTGAAGGCAGTGACAAAACAATCACTCCTGCTTCCACTTCTCAAAAAGCTGTGAAGTGCCACCTAGATGGATGATAATATTAGCTACCTTTTATTAACCGCATTAAAGGTAGCTCAAAGAAAAATGTTAAAAAATCTCTACATTAAAAAAAAAAAAAAAAAACCCTTCTAGGACCCACAAAATTGACCATGTCCCTTTACCTTCTGACTTGTTAAATGAAAACGCTAGATAAGAATTAGTGGAGGGGCGCCTGGGTGGCTCATTCAGTTGAGTGTCTGACTCTTGATTTTGGCTCAGGTCATGCTCTCAGAGTCCTGGGATCTGCCAGCATGGGGCTCAGTGCTCCACGGCGGGAGTCTGCTTGAGGATTCTCTCTCTCCTGCCTCTCTGCCCCTCCCCCCCACCCACGCTCATGTGCACGCTGTCTCTCTCTTTCTCGCTCGCTCTCTCTCAAATAGATAAAAACTTTAAATAAATTTTTTAAAAAAAGAATTAGTAGAATCAGCTGAATAAGAGATCGAGCTCTTAAGAATCTTTAGGACAATGTCCTTGTCTGACAAAGGGAATTTTAACTCTGTTTTGCTTCACTTATCTTTTTGGATGAGGAAGAAGTGATACTTGTTAATACATTTACTACTAATGCAGCTTGTGTTATTTCATTGATGTTGAAATAACGATGTTGATGAGAAATGAACAATACATTAAAAAAAAAAAAACAAACCACCAATCCTCAGCTCTGACAACCAAAGTCCAAAGTCAGTAAGACTGGGAGAGTTCTATGTAGTTGCAAGAATTCTGGGTGGTATTTAGAAATCAACAATTTAAATAATGTCTTAAGTTTCTGAATTTCTAGACGGTTCCTCATGAAAAATGTATTGATATGCTCTATCATACTAAAAAAATTTATTTGATCAGCTTCATTACAGCCCTGGCTAGTTATTTCATAACACATTCTAGAAAGCTGCATTTTGGTTACAGATACAAGTTTATAGGTATGGATTTATACACATTTATAAATATACCACTTATAGTTAATTAAATAGGACATTTGAGATCATTTCTATCCCAGCTACCAAAATTTGACAATCAGGAGTTGATCAAGAGCAAAACTTCCTAATATTTACATATTCTGATGAAAATGAAGGTCAACACTAACATGTAATATTTTTTCCAGAAACTTAACGTGACTTTATATATGTATCCAGTATTTTTTTTACTAATTTATTCTACTTTCATATTATCCAGTAGAAGTCTAGTGGTATCTCATCCTCGTTAGTCATAATTTTGAAACTTCTAAGTTAACTGGAGTATTTTAAGTATTATTTATAAAGCATCTTTAAGAAAATTGCACAGGATTTTTTTTTACTCAAATATAATGAGTGCTTTTACTGTTCCCCTTCTAGCAAACATCAAATTTTTACAAAGGTATTTTATTCTGAGGATCTAGAAGATTCTACCTGATGAAATATTTTTTAATTAGTATGCATCAATTTTTTCCAAGTGTTTTCAGCTAATCTGATTTACAAAATGGTTCCTATGAGTCATGAAAAGATAAAGTCTGAGGAATTTTATTTATTAAGCTGTAATCAAATATACATGTTTGCTTACCAAAACTAAAAGTCAACCCTAAAATGCTCTAAATGAGAAGCTTTCATGGCAGAGGGAAATGTGATACTTGTCTCTCTAGCAGAAGGGGAGGAGGGGGGAGTTAGAAGTAATTCCACCCCCTATTAACAAAATATCCAAAAATCTTTAAACTATAAGTTATCTAGGTTTAAGGAGTTTAGGTTATAGCACTAGTGCATTCCCTGCCCAAAAGAACACTCATTTCAAAAAGTGAGAAGGAGGGGCGCCTGGGTGGCTCAGTCGTTAAGCGTCTGCCTTCGGCTCAGGTCATGATCCCAGGGTCCTGGGATCGAGCCCCGCATCGAGCCCCGCATCGGGCTCCCTGCTCGGCAGGAAGCCTGCTTCTCCCTCTCCCACTCCCCCTGCTTGTGTTCCCTCTCTCGTTGTGTCTCTCTCTGTCAAATAAATAAATAAAATCTTTAAAAAAAAAAAAAGTGAGAAGGAGAAAATAGAAACTTGCTTATTCACATTGCTATCCACAGGCAAATTCCAAATACCAGTGGCAAAGCAAGAGACAAACTGTTTGCTTTACTAATCATGTCTTTATAATCTGATGTCTATTTTAGCTATTCTTTGACCATCCGTATTTTATATACCTACAATCCAGCACTCTTATTCCTACTGTTGTTATGATGATATCACTAACATATTGAGCATTAAAATGGAAACAACAGTCATTCAGAGTATTGGTCCTGGTTAAAAATTGAGCCAACTAGCCAAAGCGCTCTTACAAACATGGTAGGTCAGTTTTACAAAAAATGAATGTGACTTTTTTTTTTTTTTTTTTTTAAAGAAAGTGAATTGCATTTCCACTCTATTTGGCTAAAAAGGCACAGGCTCAAATTTTTAGGCCTGATGTGAAAAGCTATAATGTAACCACATTTACTGACAAGTATGTCTTGAATAACCTTGAGTAAGAGTCTACTTTTGTTTCCCATGGGAATATAAGCCAGTCTGTTGATACAAAATATCTGATGATAGAGCATCTGGAGGAGTCCACTCACACCTTTTATTTTCTTACCAAAAACAACAATGCCAGCCTACACTCACATTCATAAGTAAGACAGGAATGTATCACTGAGAAAACAGACATGGAGAAATCTCTGCATTTGAAAAAGAAAAATCAGAAACTTAGTCACTTAGCATTAAAAACCCTATCTGTAATTTTACATTCATTTATGTGAAACCGAAATTATACTTCTTTGACTCCATGTCCTAGATTTAATTTCAGAATAAATAATAACTTTACTGTAAGTTAAAATAAAAAGTAGGCAGCGTACAAATAAAGGTCAAATATGATAGAAACTTGCTCATCTTATTATTATCACAAAATATTACCCAATTTCTAAGAAATTTCTATTTTGCTGGTTTGAATCTTTGAGTTCAGAATAAAAATTGCCTACTTTATAATCACAGACTTGTTATTGTTTAACAATTTATTTCCACTTACAAATCACGCCCTGGAAAGAAAAATAATGCACAAGGGCTTTTAGCAACTGGAAAGTTATTTGATTGCAACCCTTTTGCAAATATGACTTCCATATTTAACTGTAATCAGCAACCTTTTAAAAAGCCTCTTTTGTGCTGAAAACCAGGCTTCCTAGAGCCTGCATCTGTCATAATTAGGTTTCTGAAGTCTATATGGCTTGCTTCATTTGCCTTCTGTGTTTAGATTGATAAGAGAAATAGTTTATTAAAAGCAAAGAGGAAGAGAGAGAGAGAGAGATCACAATATGCAACATCACAAACAAGTCAATCTTTTCCAAAATGTCCACCAATGCTTATGTTTGCTGTATTCTGTCTCTCATTTCAGCTGCTGGTAGGGATTATCCAGGCTGCTGAGCTGCCCGCCTTAGACATGGGGGGCACATCGGATCCCTATGTGAAAGTGTTTCTGCTACCTGATAAAAAGAAGAAATTTGAGACAAAAGTCCACCGAAAGACCCTTAATCCTGTCTTCAATGAGCAATTTACTTTCAAGGTATTTTTTTTTTTTTTTTGGTACTTACTAATAACTTTTCCTCTGTGGTTTTCAAGACCGATCTCATCCTGACACATACATAGACGTGCACATGGCCCCTTGTTCAGAGGCTCACAGATGAGTTTGTTCAGAGGCTCACAGATGAGTTTGTTCAGAATATTCAAAATTCTTAACTTCAGTCCAGTGAGGATTCAGCACTGCATTTAGATGTGGTCAAAGTGGGATTCGGCTCAGCCATTTCAGAATAGAATATAGCCTGGAAGATGACGGGACTGTCATTTCACATCTAAAAAGGAAGGTTAGACTTAAACGTGTCCCCCTCTCTAAAATAAAGCCCAAGGAAGAATGAAATTATTCTTTTTCTAAGTCTCGAAGTTCCTGAAAATAAACCACAATCTCAGAACTGAGTAAGCTGTGTTCCACTGTTTAAATGGTACAAATTGTTTTTATTCTCATTGCAAAATTCTGTGTATACAGGGGCAATCCGAGCACACAGAAACCGTTCTTAACCTATCAATAAAAAAGGATAGGAACCCCTTGTTTTTGCACATTTCTAGCATTTTCCCTCAACTGTCATCTTTTCCCTAGTGTTCTTCATCTTGTTGAGACACCTCAGTTGACAGTCACCAAGAGAGATTCTGGCCATAAGATAATAACTGGACAGGAAAACGTGCTCTGCGGGCCTCAGGCGTCTCTGCATACACAAGTTCCGTAGCTCTTGTCTTGAAGTCATGCATAAAAACAGTGCTTTGGTAGCTATCTTTAATATATGAAAAAAAAATGTTAATTCATTACTTAAAATAATACATTTCTGAAAAATGAAATGTCTGTAAATACGCCAGCAGGCAGATTCAGAATCCCTCCTCTATCAGCCAGCCTTCGCGAAAGCATGTGCCTCATGTAGGCAAATACTAGGTATGAAATAAACGGATGAAACCAAGGGCATGAGTCATTTTCTCAAGCCCTGTTTCCAATTTCGTAAAAGAGCAGTGTCTTTCTCTTCACTCTGAAATTTGAGGTTTTAGGACAAAAAAAATCCCCAATGTCTTGTCAGTAATCTTTTCTAAAAAACTACACTTTTCTATACCCAGAGAGTTCATTTAGAGTAGCAATAAAAACATTCTGAAACTACTCCGCTTACAAAGAACTAATCACTACAGCCAAAACACCACAAAACAAAATGAAAATAAAACTAATAAAATATTGCAAATGGTAATCACAGTCATACTATTTGACTATGTTTTAACCTCAATTTAGGTCAGCATTTTCTAACCATGATTTAGTAAGCAGATTCTTAAATTTGTTGATTTACTAAAGGGGGCTTTCTGTTTTGAGTTATTCATATGTTAATTTTAAAAAATGTATTCCTAAAATCTGATGAAGAATTTCTGTGGCCTCATGAAGTTTAATTATTGAAATTTTTAAATTGCCTATAAAATTTTATCAGGTTCCATTTTATTTCAAGAATGTTGATCAAACCATAAATCAACCCAAAGTATAATATATTTTGATACACTTAAGAACCATGCTGCTGTTTCCAGAGAATTAGTTAATTTCGCCAGTAGACAGTGTAGATTACGTGTCTTGAAATGCCAATAGGCAAGATGATAGAACAGAAGCACAACAGTTTAAAGAGGACAAGCTTTAAAACGGAGTTCAAATCCACTTGACATGAACTTGACATCCCCAACCTAAGTGTTGCTTTTCCTCAAAACAAATTCCCACCTGAAGGAGCTACTAATCATTCAAATACTGTAGAAGTGCCTACTGTGTCAGCACTCTGCTAAATGCCTCAAACAGCCCTGGGAAGTGGGCCCTACTATTAACACTATTTGATAGATGCAAAGTGTGTAGTTGGTTCACTTGCCCCAGGCCCTTCAGCCGGGAAGTGGGAAAACCCAGGCCCGGGCCTGCCAAACCCCAAGCCCAGGTTTTCTGACTAATGTTATTTCAATAGAATCACCAAAAAAAAAAAAAAAAAAAAAAATCCAGAGTAATTTCAGAAATAAGATGAAATTTCTCAGAGTTTATCCCCACTCTAAAATTCATCTCTTCCTTTGAAACTCAGTTTTGGGACGGGTTTATTTTTTTCTTCTAAAATGGAAAAGGTATTGTTCCTCCTTTTTAATCAAAGTATTTTAATCAGATTCCCAATAGATGACAAGTAAGTGACAAAAAAACTTTTGAAAAACTAGAATTTCTTATACAGTTATAGTCAAATATGCTTCCTTCCCCCTCAATATATAGAGTTCACTGAGATATGTTTGAGGGAGCAAAGACAACCATTTGCACCGATAAATAAAAATTGATCAAAACTTCAATACAGGTCTAAACAATTTCTTAATTAGGCATTTCTACCCAATTACTGAAGCATAGCTTACTTAGATCGCACTACTTTCCCTGAATATTAAAAATGTCACCAATAAAAATCCCAACCCATAGCATCTGTCCCAGATCTATCTGAACAGCTGGAGAATTCATCAGTTCTGGGCCTTTTGCCACGACTCATCCTAAAAAGTGTCATACCTAAGAATGAACTTCAAGATCTATATTATAATGCATCTCTGATATTTAAAACATCAATTTTATAGTCAGTTCCTGTCAATCAGTAAATTATTTTAGGGAGTAGGTGAGGCAACTTGTGAATTTCATTTCAATCCTTTCTGACTCCTAGCATATCTTTTTATAAATCACTGCTCCATTCAACTGTGCCATCCAAATGGCTTGAAAGAGTTAATAGAATTTTTGAAACAAGTTTTCTACCCCAAATAAGCTGAAAATATAACTGATTAACAATAACAAAATATTCTACAAGTAAAACTTACACAGTCAAGTGCAATTCGCTTGGTTTATTCTTCTATCAAACAAATTCCCACCTGATCATTCTAATCATTCAAATGATAAATATTTAAGTGCCTACTGTGTGCCAACACTGTTAAATCTTAAAGTGTTTATAGCATGACTAATAGTAAGCCTCATTATCAGTAATACTAATTGCTTCTGAAACTTTAGGATAAAGTGATAAGATGACTATGGTTAAGTCTCTATTTTCTCCCAATTTGAGCCTCAAGCAATTATTCAAATGATTCCATTTTTTTTAAAAGCACGATTATCCTCATTTTGTTTCTGCAACTAAATATTGAAATTAAACACTATAACCAAGTCATCCATTTTAAGCATTTTTGTGACCAGATTTTTATCCTCATCTCTTTATTTAGGTGCCCTACTCAGAATTGGGTGGCAAGACCCTGGTGATGGCCGTGTATGATTTTGATCGTTTCTCCAAGCATGACATCATTGGGGAATTTAAAGTCCCCATGAACACAGTGGATTTCGGTCATGTAACTGAGGAGTGGCGTGATCTGCAAAGTGCTGAGAAGGAAGAGGTAAGGAAAACATTAGCATTTCTAATATGACAAGCTGTACTCACCAGTTGCTCCTCACATAAGAACCTATTGAGAGACGCTCTCTACACAGGATGATGTGGGCCTCCAGCTGCTGACAGCTGGGAAAATAGGGTTAAGGGATTGATTGCATCACCCCATTAAAAAGGATACAGGTCTTCTGGGCTTATTTGAAAGAAAAGAGAAAGATCTGTGCCCGCCGTGTCTATAGATAATTTCCGGGACACACACACACACACACACACACACACACACACACACGCCCACTATCTGCTTCTAAAAAGCTTACAAAATGCCAGACACGCACACATCTACTTCTTTAAAGTGAAAAATCATCTTATTCTTTGTATCTTTCCACAATCATTTCATGTTTTCTACATAGGTTATGTAGCTATTAAACAGAAATAAAATAGCACTTTTCCCTTGATTATGTCTGCATATCACAGACCGTTCATTGTTTCCCCTACAGATATCAGAGCATGATGGGTGGAACATCAAATATAATTCACAAAGGCTGATATTAAATCCATTTTTTAAATGACTCACATTTTTATAGTACTCTTCACGTTGTTTTTTCCCCAGTTTTCATAGTTCAGCCCAGGATTTTTCTGTGATTTAAAAAGGGAAGTTCAATATCTTTAGTGCATTTAAACTAGATAATAATCAATTCGATTTGATTATGCTAGGCCTGCCTAGCGTTTTTTTGTGCAAATGTCTCAATAGGCCAATATCAGAAAGGCAAACAACTCTAGCTTCCCTGAATTCCTAAAGCAGCTCTTTTTTCCAGCCATTTTTGGGGTCCTGACAATCCCTTGGGTGATTATAAGCCCAAGAGATTGTCAACAGCCTCCTTCAGTGAGGATCCATAGAACAGTGTCAAGTGTGATCACGTCAGGGCCACCAGGGAGATCAAAGAGAAGCCCAAGCCCTCAGAGAAATTCAACCGAGCCCATCACCTGGGAGTCCTCTCAACCTAAGATGTTCTGTGACCAATGTAACTAAGTGAGGTTTTAGAACAGGTTTGTTGATTGCTGTATGAAATCGAATCTTATTAGTCCTCCAAAATTATTATGTAGTTGTAAAAAAGGAATAAAAGGTTTTTGAGTTGAGCTCTGCTTTCCTTTTGGAAAGAAAGATCTATAACTTAACCAAATATGTTAGTCGAAATTAGATTCGTGGATACTGAAATCAATGTAGCCCCACTGTGGATATCATTCAAAACCCACCCAAGGATAATATTGAGTTGGTAAATTTTGTTATTTTTATAAGTAGTTCTTCTCTTTGAGTGAATTAGTATCAATATTAAATCCAAGATCTGTTTGAAAAGAATCACTTGATCATAACGTTTCTATTGAAGAAAGTAATGAGCTATTTCATTGAATTATTTTATTTGACTGAAATATTTTACTTTGTATGTTCCTTGCAGTTGGGGTGCAAAGTGGGACTGTAACAAATATTCATTAATGGCAAGGTTCTTTTTTTTTTTTTTAAAGATTTTATTTATTTATTTGAGAGAGAGAGTGAGAGAGAGAAAGAGCACAAGAGGGGGGAGCGGGAGAGGGAGAAGCAGACTCCCTGCTGAGCAGGGAGCCCGATGCGGGACTCGATCCCGGGACTCCAGGATCATGACCTGAGCCGAAGGCAGTCGCTTAACCAACTGAGCCACCCAGGCACCCGGCAAGGTTCTTATTAGTTGACTGGTTAATGGTTAGCTTGTTGGTTGAGAATCAAAATATGACCCACTCATGCTTCACAATGGCTACCTGTCCAGAGTTCATACTCCCCACCTTCACCTGATAACTATCAAGTGGTATGGTATTCCAAGATCACACTTACTGGGTTTCTGAAAAGTTGGCAAATATTTTTGCCTGAATTAAGAAAATGTTTCAGAAAAAAAAAAAAGAGAAAAGAAAGAAAAAACGAAAGAAAGAAAGAAAGAAAATGTAAAAGCCATCAAGCAGTTTTCCTCTTTCAAAAATTCTTTGAATATGGGCAGAGTTTGAGACTTGACAGTAAGCTGACAGGCTTGACTCTAGAATCTAAAAGAGTAGATAGACTGCCCAAAAAGAGTCACATTTTTCTTCTCACTCTCTTACTTGCCCTCCTTCTCTCTCTTCTATTTCTTTCTTTCTTCTTCCATGTCTTCTCTCCCTATCTAAGAAAAAATATGTGGATATTTACTGTATATTGCTACATTTCTGGAACTGTGTAGGTACTAAACAAAGTGAAACAGGTAGACACTGCTCCTGCTTTCATGGTATATGGTGTCGTCTCCTTTTCCTTCCTCACGCCAACCTTTGCTTTGCTTATTGTCAGTGACCCTGGTTTCTGGAAATAGTCCTGTCTGGAAGATCAAACACTCCTGGGTTTCAATTCTGACGAATCCATTTACCAGCTCAGAGAACTTGGACATGTCACTTAAGCTCTCTAAAATTCAGTCTGTTGATCTAGAAAGTGGTTTACCATTATCTACCCCTTGTCTTGCAGATTAAGTAGGATAAAGTGCCCAGTATAGGGCCTGGTATGTGTAAGTGTCCAATAAGCAAGAGATCTCCCATTCTTTCTTCTTGGCCAATCTTTCTTGTGTTCTTTCACTTTGTTTTTACCTCCCTATTCATTCTGGCCTTTTCCCTTTATCCAAATCTACTTCTCTCTTTTTCTCACCACCATTGTATTTACTGAATGTCTCTGCAAGTTTTTAATGGTAAATAATTCTACAACTACATTTTTAAACTCTTGAGCCTTTCCTCTTTGATATCAACTTAGGAATAGTAATTTTTGGTTTGAAGTTGAGTGACTATTTCCTTTTATCATGATATAGGAAGCCTCATAAAACAGATGTCTAGTTTATGAACTATCTCCGCATGACTAGAACCAGATATAAAGTTCCTCATAATAAATGAATGAAGTAAGATTCCAATCACGTTCTTGTACCTGAATAAGTACTTATTCTAACTGATATATGCTCTATTTTTTTTCATGCTACTCTCCATTAACCACAGAAAATTATAGCTGTGTGAATAAATTGTAGTCTCAGATTGACTTTGGTTCTCACAATTTTAAAGATACTATTTTTTCCATTTTACATCAACATTCTGTTCATGATTTTCATTTTCTTTTATCTAACAGTATTAAGTGTTGTTTTAAATATAATGCGTGAGGGGCGCCTGAGTGGCTCAGTTGTTTAAGTGACTGCCTTCGGCTCAGGTCATGATCCTGGAGTCCCGGGATCGAGTCCCGTATCGGGCTCCCTGCCCAGTGGGGAGTCTGCTTCTCCCTCTGACCCTCCCCCTCTCATGTGCTCTCTCTCTCTCATTCTCTTTCAAATAAATAAATAAAATCTTTTAAAAAAGAAAGATAATGAGTGAAATGGGGAAGGAATTCAAGAAACAGCTTTGGAATCTAGAAACTGAACCATTCATCACAGTAGTCTGGTTCAGGTTGACACTTGGATTTAAGCAGGTTAAATCCAACCCACTGAGATCCAACCCTGTGATTTTGGCTTTGTTGCCAGAAAGTAAAAAATTATAAAAGTCGTAAGATGATGAAGCAACTATGTAAGTTAAAAAATTGTTATTTTAGTGATCAACTAAATGTCCAAGCAATTTAGGGGGAAAAAAATGGAAATAGCCTTATCTGGAAGTTACCAAGCACATGTTGAAAATGTAAAGGTGTTTGAAAGAGATAAGCTATGCCAGGAAGAGCCCTAACAAGCACACGGCTCCCACTGTTAGATTCCAGCCCCTAGGAAAAGCATCTCTGACCAGGTTTCTATTCTGACTTGATAAATTTCTATGACACAGTCAAAGCCACCTTACTGGTTTAAGTTCATTCAAGTTCTCTCTCCTTCCACCTCCCAACAGATGAAGATGGAATTTGACTTTACAGACCATTAGACCTTTTTCTTCCTTTTGTGTTTCTTTAAAACAGAAATGTACATCCTCTGAGTGGAGAGACAGTAACATAAAGCTTTTCCTTATTTTCCATTTTTTAGTATAGGGCCTCAAAAATCATCCTTTTACAAAAGGTTTTTAATCACCCATTTGCAAAAGATTTCTACTGTGTATAACCTCAGGCTATGTTTTTGAGATTTTCTTTTTAATCATTCAAAAAATATTGATGCCGCCCACAGGTCAACCCTGAACCCAGCCTTCCTACTTTTACAATAGTCCATTAAAGTGATACATCTACTTAATTACTTCAAATGTTACAATCAATGGCTATAATTCCATTTTTCTTTTTAAATTCTATTTATGATTTTAGAAATTGTCGCAGTTCTGCACCCCAGCATCAGATATATTTTTAAAGCACTTAGATCCTTATTTTTTTAGCATTTTATCCCTAATTTTTTAAATGTATTTTTAGGATTTTGTCCCTTATTTATGTATTTTTAACCTCTACTACTACTTATCTCTAAAGACAGCATAAGAAATAGATACTACCAGAAAACAACTGAGCGTTTTTTTATTTTTGAGCATATCTGTCTTATGACTTTACCAGTGCTGGGGTTTTTTTCCCTCCACTGGAGAATAAGTCTATCACCTCTGGTTTGTGTAGAATTCGTTAAAGAGTAATTTTTAAATGAGATTCTGTAATCCAGTGCAAATGGAAAAAAAATTGATTGCTGAATTAAAGCTAGTTGGGACATAATTTAATTAGTATCCAAGCAGAAGGGAAGAGAAACTACTTTAGTGTCTTAATAGAAAATCAATTTTGCAACAAAATTTCACATTTTTAAGCCTAATTAGAAAAACATTTACTTCACAGAAAAGCATTTGGACAATACATATTCAGTCAAATGGCAAAAGTTATTCAGCCTCCAATGGTCAATTACTTGATATTTCTTTGGAATGGGTTAAAGTCATTATTCCTTGTGACATCTTTTATTTCCAAAGATCATAAAAGAACTGATGTTATTTCTAAGTATACTTAGCAGTCAGAGGATAACTCATACCCTCTGAGAATCTCTGCACAACAAATCA